TGATGAAAAAGAAAAAACAAAGGCAACGATTCAAAACACTTTAATTTTGGCATAGTTCGGCTTTGCATTCAAATCTCCTAATAATTATTTTGTAAATACTGTACACGGAAAATTTGGGCCGAGTTCTTGGTGCTTTGTAAAAGCGAATTTTGATTGGCTGAATCTATGGCAGCCATCTTAACTTAATTCGCTTCTTGGTGGCGCTGTCTAGAAGTTTTGTCGATGAGAGGGGAGAGGAGCGAATTTTGATTGGCTGAATCTATGGCAGCCATCTTAACTTAATTCGCTTCTTGGTGGCGCTGGGGAGAGGATTTACCCCTCCCCCTGCAAAGTCTTGGAAAGCTTTTCCGTTACATATGGCCGAAATTGCATTTATGTTGTCTTCTGGGCTAGTACTACTAGTAGTACTACTACTACCACTAGGCCAACTTAACAACAGTTATTATATGAATAAGGTAAGACTTAGCATCCTCCTAGCCTAGGCTAGGCCTGCCTTCTTAGTGGGCCGGCTATACCTTTCTACCTGGGCCTAGGGCTAGAGGCTGGGCATAAGGGCTCCCTAGGCCTAGGGCTACATAGACTAGGCCTAGAGTCTAGTAGTAGGCCTGTCACGCCAAAAAAGGTCTGGTGGACAGATTTTAGCCGCCAAAATATTTGCCACCTTGTGGCAAAGTTTTTTGAAGGTTGGAATTCCATCTTCCTAATCGGAAATTATCAGGGAACATCGTCCGATTGTTTTTACCAAATCAGTCCAGGAATAGGGCCCATGGGACCTCCATTTATTTAAAAATCATATCCAATGACAACTTATTCAATTGCATTTCTATATACATAGCCTATAGGCCTACACATAACAAGAAAGAATATAATTTTTTACAAGATTAATATCCTATACAAATATTATTACTTAAATTTATATTAAATACTGTATTAGGCCAAGTAAAAAAAAATTAAGGAGTTTCTCGTCCCCGCCCGCTTGCTATTTTCAGGCCGATATATTATCAATACATGCCTACTGTGAGTTGGACCACCAGTTTCAATAATTAGCGTATCCTCTGTAATATAAAAAGTTGCAGTGCCATACGGTTAATTATAAAGAGAATTGACCAATAAACATATTGCAATTCGTATCACGTGTCTAAATCGTGTTGGGCCGCATTACTTTTAGCAAGCTATTGGCGTGATAAATAACAAGAAGAAAAAGCATGAAGAAAAGCGTTTGATTTTGTTTACTGTATTTGTTTCTAATCTTTGCTCTATAGTCAAGTTGCTTCTTTTTTAATAGTATTGCAATGGTATTCGTATGTGTGTGCATACGTGCACACACTGATCCGCCATCAAAATTTTTAAAGCCGTACTTTGGTCGTTTTGTAAATGAGACGAGTTTGACATTGGCAGATGTGTTCAATGAATATGCCAGTGGCCAATTTGATGGCAAAGGCCCAATAGCCGACAAATACACGAAAGTGCAAATAAGTATTGGTTGGTTGTACAATAACTCTAGGCCTAGTTATACAATTTAACAATGTACATAATTCGAGTTGCATCGCTGAAATACAACTCGGGACCAAACAGCCAAGATTTATTTTTGAACATTGAAAGCCTACTATGCTTGACATTCTAAATGCCTACATGATCTTTTTATTTACATTTGTAGTCTAGGTGTATATATTTAGGTGTTTTTAAAACTACATCACAACATAATTAAAATTACATAGATAGCATGCTTTTTTTATTTCGCCCCCTTTTATTTTTTGTTTCTTAAAAAAAAAAAAAAAAAAAAAAACCCGCCCTCATCCAAAAAAAAAAAAACGCCCTCATCCTCTTAAAAAATAAAAAATTAGGACGAGAACCTACTTTTTTTTTTACTTGGCCTTAATTGTCCATTAATAAGTTGACATTTACAAGAAAGGTAAGTAGGGCCTACTTTTAAAGTCCCATTTTATGCTAATAAAACTGGCCTACTAATGTAAATATATATGAAAAAATACACAAGTTAAAAAAAAAACTTCCCATATATTTACAGTATGTGACTTGGTGCACCAAATTTATACATAGCATGAGTTACCAAGAGATGTATTTTTGATATATTTTCAATATTGATTAAATAAATTGGTTTGATTGATCATCCCATTTACCGTCTTTGAGAAATTAATATGAAACTAAAACAAAAAAAAGGTTGAATAGTAGAACTATGCCTTGTATATGGCCGGACAAAGTGTAGATAGCATGAATTACCATGTTTTTATATATAAGAGGTATACTTTGTTTTGTTACTTAGACAGTTATAAACATTAACATAACTATATAATTATAACATAATTAATGAATGTGTAGTGTTGTTTGTTTTAGAACAAAAAAAAAAATTTTTTTTTTTTCGATTACGATTGAGTGATATATATCTTTTTTGAGTATTAGTCAAAATTTACATTAATGATTCAAAATAAAAATTTAACCCTCACCGACCAAATACTGTGAAATGATGCATATAGACATTTTTTCAATGATAGTCTTCGCAAATTTGCCCAAATTTCAAATCTCAATTTCAAGTCTCTGGTTGATGTTCTGATCCACAGGCTCCTTCCACATCATGGGAAAAAAGAAGATATTGATTGTAAGTATAAAACTTTTTTATTTGTAAGGATTGTTACAGAGCTGACAAATTTAACTTCCTAAACATTTGAAAAAAAAAAATCGTAGTGCTACAACAAATGGTTTATCTGCAAATATAAGAATAACCAATAAAAACAAAGTGTTCTACAAGCAGGTATTCAATTCCAGTTTTTGAACGTAATTTTGTCCGAATTTTTACATCTGGGAGAAGCACAAGCTCTTTAATATTCCTTTGATTGACATTCAAAGACTACAACCAAGTTATATATTTTTTTATAAACTTATTAGCACAGATTGTAGGGTGGTTTGTAATTTTCACCTTAAATGCAGATTAATATTATGAAATTCAATTTCTCAAAAATGGCTTAGTATTTCTAAATGTATAATGAAATTTGGAATGTTTATTCTTTGGGTTAAGACCAGCATTCAGTAGACTAATATTTTTTTAAATATATATTGCTAGTTTCTTAGAAAAAAAGTAGCTTTACAGTTTAAATATAACACTTTCTAGTAGTACTAAACATGTACAATTAGACTAAACACTAGTAAGTAGTATGTATATGTTCCCAATATGTTTTGTAATCAATTTGTTTAAACATATTTGCTTCTATTTTTCTTTTCCAGCAATGTCATAATA